GCATTCGTGCCCTCATATGAAGGCAGCACATCAACTTACATTCAACTATTGTCCCAAAAAAGTTAGTGATAAACAATAAGGTTGTTGTTTTGAGACAATTTTCAAGTGATGTATTCATATTGTTCACCCTGCCAAAGACCAAAAGATTTTAATTTTGTAATTAACACTCAACACTGGTACTGGGATATATTTTAAATATCCAAAATAATACACAAAAACCAAAACAAATAAAAATAAATAAAACCCACTTACAATTCAATTCAGTTTTTCTATATAGCGCCAATTTAACGCCGTATCAAGGCTCTTTACAGAAAAAAAAATGATTTCAATTCAAACAAAACCATCAGTAAAAAGCAAAATTACCCTTCAGAACTATGAAAATGTTCAGCTCATTTTAATTTATCATGCGATTAATTACTAAATTGCTTATTGTGACAGGGTTACATTCAACCATAAAAAGTGACAACTTCTAAATAAACAAAAATAAATTAAGGATTTATTTAAATCGACGGTTCTTGTTTTTTAGAACCATCTCCGTAAATCCACTTGTTACACATTTTGAGAAACACTTTTAAATTGTTTCCGTCCTGTACACACACCTGATGTTCTCAAAAACAAACTGGAGGAAATAAATCGTTAGTGGTGGAACATTTTTTTCTAAAACAAAATACTAAGCGTAATTTCCTCCACTAACTAATCAACTAGTGGTAAAAAGAGCATCGTCGTGGCGCCACTCCTAAGGAGTGTGAATAATTACAGCAAGGCACTTACAATTGTTTGTTTCACAATTTTATACCTTTTCCAGACAGTAAGTTTTTCCAGCAGTCATGCGAGTATCTGAACCTCCAAGTATAAAACTATGTAATGACAGGAACGCTCAGGAAATAAACTCTTTGCACACATTTCACTCTTTTGATCAGATCATTTGAAAAACACTTCATTGTGACAGACCAGACAGAAATAATCAGCTATATGGAAAAGGATTAATAATCAGTTATTTCAAAAACTAATCTCCAGATCAGGTCTACGCTGTATTGATGTTAAATCAAGAAGAAAGAGCAGAGCTTTCCGCATGTTTATGTAAGAAATAAAACTCGTCTAGCTGAAAGACAGACGAATCTGTTAGAATCCAGACCAGAAACCCAAAAATTGTCGGCAGTCTAAACCACAAGAATCAACTCCTGTTTGTGGCGGTTCTGTGTGGAAGCAGACGGACCCGAAGGGCTTCCTCATTTTTTCTTTTCCAAACTATACCCACACATTTAAGTCAGGTGAAATAACTCAAAATTATGCGTCACTGTGAGCTTGTGATCTAACTTAGACACATTTCCTTTGACATTTCTCTTTTAGTTTCTCGTTTCACATTTACTTATCTTAGAATTTATTTCAATCATTAAAATGTGTACTTATTTTGTATTATTTTTTCCATTTTAGTCTGTAAAATTACAAAATTCTATAATGATCAGATCATTGTAAATTATAAAAACAGTCGTTAAAATCAGATACTCAGTATTAGCAAATACTTTTTCAATCATTCTGGAGTCATTACTTGCATGACTACTTTTTACTTTTACTTGAGTAAAAATACGCCGACGATGTTGGGGTGCTCTGCACACACCTCTGTGTAAAACTTAAGATCAAAGAAATCACTACAGCGATTTTTCTAAATTTAATATCCCTTTTGAATAACATAACCCTGCGAAAAACATAAAACCCTAAAGTATAAATGGTGTACTTCTTTCTACCGTAATACTTCCAATACATTTTCTTGTGACAGTTCAATATTTATGCCTTTTATCAGTATTTGACTTAAGTAAATTATAAACGTCTTCAATCAGTAAAAGTAAGAAAATAAGTCTAATCACCCTGACTAGACTTGTTAATGCATGTGGGAACAAACTCTACTAATGTCAGAGAGCGGCTTCCGCATATGCTGCATACCAAAGATGTAAAAAAAAAAAAAAAAATGGGGGGAGACTGTAGAAAGACTGCTTATTAGCTGAATGTGATTTAGAAGCGGATACTGCAAACACTTCCGCTAAATGAGCAAAGCTCCGAGATCAGAAACCAACTAAAACGTGAAGCCTAAACAGGCGATATTTAGAAGTCATATCGTATAAAAACAAACAAAACAAAAAAAACATAAAACCGACCAGCTATGGCTGATAAAGCTGATTATGGCTTTACAGTGACTGAAAATTACAATAATTAGATTTAAAATATAATTGTTAGTATCTTTCTTCCACTAAACCATAAAACAAACCTACTAATGAAAAAAAAAAACATAGTTAACAAAAACAGAGGTGACAATAGCTTACCCAAGGTGACAGAAGTATTATAATTAATAAGAACACAAGGTAAAGCTAACATACAGGAAACTTTAACAAACTCAAAAACTGCTTCACTAATGTACACACGATTCATCTCCGTAAATACTTTATATTTCTGGGAGTTGTCTATTCATACATCCCAGACTGCGGCAACCAATAAACAATCTATTTTTAACTCTTTATTTTTTGTTCAGCTTACCGTTTTTCTACCGACAAGTTAGGCGTTGGTTTCATCCGGGTTTGAGGGTAGAACTATTTTCTGCGCAGCCGCAAACCACACAAGATTTAGTTCTTTAGAGGAACTGACATACTGCCTCCTGCTGGACATGAAGTGTATTACAATGTACAAATGAAAACGTTTTAATAATTTATGTACGAGTGCGTATATAAATATTTTTCCTTCTAGTGGAGTCTTGTGTTTACCTGTGTAGTGCTTAGTGATTTTTATTTATTGCTTTTTTTATGTTGTTCTTTAAGTTTCTGTCTCAGTCATTATCTTGACTTGAAATATAGCAGCTGAAAGTCTTTTCAGACATTTACCTGCGTGGTTATAGGACATTTCCCCAGTCATCACAGTCATCGTTTCACTCAGAAACATTAGAACAGATAAAAGCTAACTAAAACATCAGAATACACTATCTGAGAGTAATCTAAACATTTTTACATTTTAAGTTACAACCACATTCAAAATGTGATTTTATTAATTCTTTCAAAACTTTTAAGCTTGGCCTCCCCCCGCCCCCCCCCCACCACCACCATAGCATTTCGCATTATATGCTTCATTACGTGTCTTTCCTATTTTAAATGAGGAAATAACCACATTTCGTCTTTTCTTAGCGTCATATTTACTTTTTTTTTAACTTCATGCATGCAAACGGTACTTTTTCAGTCCTTTAAAAATGTTCTGTGTGCACAATTTCCACATTTCTTCATTGATTATTTTATTACATATTTTAGTAATATTAGATGTAACCACTTTATTTGATCCAAAAATAACTTCAGTCTTTACATTACTCGGTTGATTGGTGTTTGGACCTATAAAACGTCCTGTCACATTTTTTCCAGATGTACTCACCTTTTCGTTTCCGGCAGGTGACACCTGGGTTTAAGGCTCGAACTTTGTGCGCAATCCGGACTGTAAACAAACATTTATTACTCCTGTTATGACGCAGCCTCGCATCACACAAGAGCAGAAACACCTCCCTTGGTGTCCAGCAGGAGGAGGTGTTTCAACATGGAATTCACTCGTTAGAGTTTGTATTTTTAATTTACTTTAAAATAAGAAAAACTTAATTTTTAGGTTTCAGAACAAAAAAAAGCACTTTCTCGAACAGAAAGGCCTAAAGAGTCATTTTCATATTTACAAAAGGTGCTTACAAAAACAAAAATAAAAGCATAATATAGTTTCCTATTTTTCCCACATTTAATGCATCATTTTTCAAATCCAAGTAAAATATAATTCTTAGAGAGCAGAATTTTTGGTAACACTTTATTTGAAGGGGGGGGTGAATAAGACTGTCATGACACTTTCATTAACATGACATAACACCTGTCATGAACATGAATAAGCCTTCATGAATATTTATGACTGTTGTCATAAAGTGTCATTTGGTAAATTATGACACTTTTAATACAAAGTTGATATTATTCAAAATGTCTTTGTTATGACAACTTGACATTAACCAAGAAATCATTACTGATATAAATTTGTTATAAAAGAATTAATGATTGCACTTTAAAAATTAGGTATCTTTATATTATTAAAGGTAAAGTTTAAACAGTAATGATTTCTTAATGTCAAGTTGTCATAAAGACATTTTGAATAATGTCAACTTCGTATTAACAGTGTCATAATTTACTGAATGACGCTTTATGACAACAGTCACAAATATTCATGAAGGCTTATTCATGTTCATGACAGGTGTTATGTCATGTTTATCAAAGTGTCATGACAGTCTTATTCAACCCCCTTCAAATAAAGTGTTACCAATTTTTTTTTTTTTTTAAGTGGATGACCCATACAAGTGTGCACCTTTACTCTAATTATACCTGAATTATAGGTATACAATTGTAGAGAGGACAAACTTCTAATTTGTCCTCACTACAATTGTGTAGCCTACTGATCCATTTAGAGCAGTGTTGTCCAAACCTTTTGCCATGGTGTCATATTTTAAATTACAATTATAGAAACAATTTTATTCATTAAATTTTTATCTGCTCAACAATTAAATAAACTGAATATGTTGTGCAACATGCTCTAGTTTGTGTGGAAAAGGGATCAGTAAATCATTTTAGAGCTGAAACAAAGTCTCAAGTTTGAAGAAAACAAAACAAAAAACAGCAAACAATGTCAAATTCTTCAGGTTGAAAATATTTGTCTATTTTTTGTCTGAAAAGGATGACTCGCTCTTCAAGTTTAATAAATGGACATACCCAAATCTTTTAGTAAAAGTCATTGGATATTTGTAGTCCCATTTGCTATTAAATTAAATAAAATAAAAAAAAAACAGCAAACAAGGTTGCAATTGAGGGCTGTGCAAAATCATCTTCAGGGCCTTAAATGGCCCCTGGACCTCACTTTGGACACCCCTAATTTAGAGGCTCTGGAAACCTTTGCAGGTGTTTTGAGTTAATTAACTGATCAGGGTGTGATATAAGGAGCTTCCAATGTTTAACTTATTCACAATATCCTTTATTAAAGAAAAGTAATTTAATAATGCCTAAAAGACTTGCAGTAGCCGCTGGCGACACAAAAGGGCAGAGCAGAGGTTGATGTAACAATCCAACAGGGAACAATAACACAGGTGAGAACATGTATACACACCGGGGTAATTAAGGAACAGCTGGAAATAATTACAGAGGAAGGAGGTGACACAGAGACAGCAGTAATGCACCTTAAGTTGTTTTCCAACCACCATAAAAATAAAAGAAGGCGGTGACACATGAGACAAAGGGTGAAAAAAAACAAAAACCAACAGATGAAACCCAAACTGTCACACTCATAACCCTACATTCAAACTGAATAAATATTAACTCATATGAAGTAATTTATTCAAAAGTAGTGGCTGTAATAAAAATATCAAATAGAAACCTTCTTCTTCTGTCTTCTGTTTTTTTTTTTTCTCCAGAAAGAAAACACTGATGTGATCAAGTTTACAACGTCACATGTCAATCAGGCACATTTGGATTAAAGTTCGTCACAGGCGTTTCTGCAAACAGAAACAGCAGCTAAGGTGCACATTTATCACATCCCAGTTGGGAAGTTTGATTTCATAACTTCCTCCAGTTCAGAAGTCCCACCAAATGTGTGCAGCATTACATCTCATACTGCTGGCCTTGCTTCAGATAGCAACACACAACCTCTTCTTTTTGACTTTAGGGACCTCCAGGGCTGCCAGTAAGGCCTCGTCAAAAACCGTCTTAACGCTTTCCTTTTCAAAGAGCAAGAAAAACAACAAAAAGAAGAACAAAATGTGTTTGTGATCCATTGAAAAAGTACAGAAGAGGAATAGGGCCATTTAAAAAAAAAAAAAAAAACTTCTTATTTTTGATGTCAGAAAAAAGAAAAAAGACAAAATTCTGAAAAAAAATCAAAGTTTTGAAAAAAATCAGAATTCTGACAAAAAAAAAGTCTGAAATTTGAGGGAAAGTCAGATTTATAAAGTTAAAATCTGAATTCTGAGTTTAAAATCAGAATTGTGAGACAAAAGTCAAAACTCTCAGAAGTCAGAATTCTTAAAATCTAAATTTTGAGATTAGACTCAGAATTTTGAAGAAAGCCACATTTTGAAAGTCAAAATTCTGAAGAAAAGAGATTTCTTAAATTAAAATCTGAATTCTGAGATTAAACTCAGAATTATGAGAAAAGTCAACATTTTGAAGAAGAAAAAAAAAGAATCTTGGAGAAAAGTCAAAACTCTGGAAAAAAATGTCAGAATTCTGAGAAGAAAAGTCAGAATTTTGAGAAGTCGGATTTCTGACATTAAAGTCAGAATTCTGAGATTAGACTCAGAATGAGATTAGACTCAGAATTCTGGAGAAAAGTCAAAATTCTGAAAAAAAAAATGTCAGAATTCATCTGGGATTTTTTTTTTTTTTGTGCCCTTATTCTTTTTCCATGAAAACAGGATTTGTTGCTGTAAAAATTATTCTCTGTACCTGTGTGATCATGGAGCACTCCACATATTTGACCGCTCTGAGCGCTCTGGCCAGCTTCTCTCCATCCTGGGGGGAGACGGGGCAATGTTTGGTCTTCACCAGCTCCTGGACTGTGTGGCTGTCGCCTCGCAGGTGTGTCTGTGTGCCCACTAACAGGAACGGTGTGCCAGGACAGTGGTGAGAAATCTCAGGAACCCACTAGAAACAAAAAAAATAAATAATGCAAGACAATGTTGGAGTAATCACTGCAAAATGAAGGCATCAACCTCTTGTTGCTGCTAATCACCACCTCATTATTTATCTAATTGGAGGAAATAAACTTCTTCCTCTTAATTGCAAACACTGGTCTGAAGATCCTTTTTAATTTAAATTCCCTCTGAGATTAATAATGTATTTTTATTTGAATTGTCAATAAGAAAAAAACGGGGCAAAATATACCAAAATAAAGATTCTTTCACCTGTGCTTACAATTTAAGCAGATATGTTGAAAATATAATTCTGAAATGTGAAATTTAAAGTAAAAAATGGGATTCTGTTCACTTTATTTTAAAGTCTTTGTGGGGTTAGATTAAATTAAAAATGGCTTTGCCAGATTTAAATTAAGTTACTTTTCATTCAACAAAGAAGCTGGCATTTTGCACAGCTGAATGGTTACCATGGAGATTAAAAGATGTTTGTTCACATCAGGGGTAGTGAATCAACAATTAAATTTTTGTTTCATGAAACCCTCAACACCTTCAGACATACTCATTTACATCAAATATAAGATGGTAAGTTGGTGGTACATTTTTGGTGCACATCTAAAATTAAAAGATTCAACTTCGCCAGTGGTATGAATAATTTTAGACTTCTGGAAACATTTTGAATCAGCAACAACAAAACTAAACATTAACAACATTCAGTGTTCAAAAGACAGCGACCTTTGTTTTGACGCTTTCAACAGATGTTGGGTGAACAACGGAGAAGCACACAAGAAACACGTCTGTTTTCGGGTAACTTAATGGTCGCAGTCTGTCATAGTCATTCTGACCTGAAAGCATCAACAAGAGATAATTTTACAAAGAGATGTATAAAACTGAAACAAAAAAACTTTTAAGGACAATTACCTGCTGTGTCAAACAGGCCAAGAGTATAGGGCTGTCCATCAATCATTACTGTGACTGCATAGTCGGTAAAAACCTTAGAGCACAAACAAAAACAAAATAGAAAATCACATTTTATATCGCTAACTAAATAATAAATTAATTTTACAACACATTGCTTACTGTTGGCACATATTCTGAAGGATTGCAGCCTCTTGTGTAGGCGATCAATAAGGCCGTTTTTTCAGCTTCACTGTCTCCCACCGCTACACATTTCACTACCGGCATCTATGAGAAAACAAACAGAATATGAATGTGCTCGAGCAAAAACAGACGTAAACGCGTCAATATTCCAACCAAAACGGTTAAAAACATCTTCATGCTGCAATAAACTAAAATAAATCGTCTTGTGTGCTTCTGAGACCATTCAAATGCAACTTTGATAAAATCTGGAAAACATTTTGGAAAGTTAATCTCTTGTGACTGCAGGTTAAATTAATGCTGGATGAAAAGAAAAAAAATGTTAGCATTCTGTCTTAGCCGTAATTTGTTTTCATTTAAGATTTGGTTATTTATTTAGACTTTTCCAGTTCAGATTATTTCCCATCTCAGTTAATTTATTCTTTCTTTGTTTCCTTAGATTGGTGCTTCTTTCTTCTTCTTCTTAGATTCTGTTTTGTCATTTTCCTCCTTTTCATCTTTGTCAGCCTGCTCCTCTTCCCAGCTGTTCTCTATTTTCTCCTCTGCCTGCTCTTTCCCTCCAGCTGTTCCTCATTTCTTGATTAGACCTTCTGTATAAAGACCCGTCAGTTCTCTGTTACCTTGTTGGTTCCTTTCTGTTCTGTATCATCTGGGTTTCTGTAAGTTATTCATGCTCCTCTCTGTTAAACATTACAGTCATGAGGCTACTGCAGACTTCTGTCTGCATTCTGGTCCGATTTCTGCACATATCATGACATAGACATTTTAAACTTCAGTATGAAGCAGAATTAACAGTTTAATTTAAAAGTAGCTCTCGTCTCTAAGCAAATTAAAATCAACCTTGGAGCCTCTTTGGATCTCTTTTTTTTTAAATTGATTTTTTAAAAAGTTCTGTTACATTATGATTTTCTTTACATCCAAAATAAATAAAAAATTCAATTATTTAATTAAAAAAAATTAATTCATATGGATTCATTACAAAGAATGACATGTGAAGACTATTTCTGTTTATTTTTGTAGAGGATAGGCTATGATCTTAGTACATGATTTAGGAAGACTTTGACCTTTCATCTATAATCATATCAATATTTACAGGATTTTGGTAATAATTTCTTATATAAATAAGCATTTAATCTCTGAAAACTTCATAATGTTCCAGAATATAATAATTTTGTAACCAGCAGTTCTTTTCAGCTTTACTTACTGTAGTTTTTCCTTGACGAGTCAGACACAGGCTACTTTCCCACTGAAGGCTTGAACTTTGTGCTCTAGTTTATGGAAAATATTATCTTACGTTATCCGTGGCGTAGCTGCACATCATAAAAGAAACGAACACTCCATGTCTCATATCCTGCAGGAGGAGGTGTTTGTTTTCCAGTAATAAAATTGTAATTTACTGATTCAGTTTAGTAGCTGTGAATTTATGCAATGCATAAAGTATTTACTGATTTCTTCTGCTTTGGGTAGAATTCATCTATTCATCAATTAGAGCAAATTATGAAGGTCCTGAAGCAACAAATCAGACCCAGACCATCGCATGGAGTGTGGTTAGAGAAAACTGAACTCAGCTGCCAAATATGGGGTTAATTTAATTCCTGATTTATCAACAAAGAACTGAATTAATCTGTACAAGAGCAAACACTTATATTCATTACAAAGATGAAAAAGGAAAAATTAAAAACAACATGAACGAGAGAGAAAGCAGAGACGGCGCTTTAAACTAGGACTGTTCATCAACTGATCAAGAGTTTTGACAAACTTTGTTGTAATTCTTCTCTGCCAATTTTCTCAAAACATTTTCAGTGTGTTTTAGGTAAGGGGAGCATGCAGCTTGATCCAAAAGAAAGAAGTTATCCTTTGTTAAGTTGTAGTGTCTGGGTCATCATGCAACATTTACAGAGAGCAGCTGCAGCTCAACGCCTCTCCAACACCGTCTGAAGCTTCATGAAACATCAGCCAGATCTCCTCCATTGTCCCACTACAAAACGGACTTTATTGAGGGTAGTGTAAGAAAAGAATAAACGTTATTTACAACTAAAACAAATGTAAAACAACAGAAAAACACACAAAGGAACAGTAAAGTATATCTGCATGTTCAAAGGAGTGGGTAGAAGTATGAATGTATTTTTACACTCACTCCTCTTACATCTTGTTAACATGGCAGTAATGCTGAAAATTAATCCATGTTTTCACTTTGGATAAAACTTCTGTCTCCATTCAAGTTTGTTTTTCTTTTCATCTTTTTTGTAGCTAACTTTAAAATCCTAAAGTTAGCTACTTTCCCCTTGCTAACAAGATATAATTTGCTTTCATAAGAAAAGAACATCCTGTTTCCATTCTCAGACCCAGTCAGTAAATTTTAATATTATTGAAGTTTATTTCAGTAACTCAGTTAATTAAGTGAAATACGTTAAATAGACTAATTACATACACATGTTGTCAAGCCTTTATTTCTGTTAATTCTGATAATTTTGTGCTTAGAGCAAATGAAAACATTTAAAAATAGAAATATTACATCAGACCAATAAAACACTTTAATACGTTTTTTAACATGCCAACTACAGACGTAAATCTGAAGTTGTCATATTCAGGTGTAATTGTATGGAACTGAGGGTAAACTGTAATTCTTATTTTGCATTTAAATTAGTATTTTCTGTTTAGTGCATTGACATAGCTTTATTGTTATGGACTAGCAATATGTAAACAACAAACTGAAACGAGCTTCTAGTTTGAGTAAATTAGTTTTTTATAGCGCATATACGATCTTTTTCTACAATATATAACAAACTTGTCTGAATAATGAATAATTATTGTGAAAAGTTTATTCGGAAATGGTGTATTTTGAAAAGCAAAGGAAGTCACCTTCGTTAGCTTCGATGCTAGCTTGTTAGCAGCGGTGTTTTCCTTTGTTACGGGACGGACTTCCGTTTTCAATGTTTGCTCCAGGTTTCTGGAATTTACAGTCTAGTGACAGTTTCAGCTAGAAATCTCGTTGAGAAAGAGATACAGCTGCTGTGTCGTTTTCTCCGGGAAGCTGCCGGGCTAAAAGTCCAACATTTCAGCCCGACCTGAAAGTGAGACTGTCACTCTTTCTCTACATCTCTTTAACTCAAGTTAGCTGGCTAGCATCAGCCAGCTGAGTTAAACCGCTTAGCATGTTTCGCTTCTTGAATGACGCCGAAGATGATCCCTTCATGATGTAAGCATTGACTTTTTCTGCATTTGGTCTGAACTGTGTTATTTTTGTTGTTGTTGTGCAGTGCCGGTGCGGTGAGGTTGCGTTTTCACAGCGCCCTGTTGAAGGTAGCCTACCTTTCGTTATTGTAGCCAGCTGTGGTGGGGGCCTGTAGCGGTCCACCATATTGGATAGACAATAAAGCGAAAAAAATAATTAAATAAATACACGAGAACTATCAGTTCCCGAAAGTAATGTGTTAAAAGACCTGCTATAGCAAAAACCGATCAACACCACATTTCCTGTTGTTTCGTCTTAGCTATTTATGAGCTAACAGCAGCACATTTCTGGTCTTTTCTGGTAATTTCTGACCCTGCATATTTACATCAGCACGTCACTCTGTTCGACTAAATGTATAAAAAATTTGTATTTTCTTTCTTTAGATAAATAAATAAACATGATTATTTCTGAAAACCTTTATTTGATTTATAATTAGTTTTAAAATCTTGAATCTGATCAAAATGTTGGCTCTGTTTTGGGGAAGTAGTAGAACAAGTATTTTTAATGGCTGGTAAATCGGAAGAACAAGAAAATGCAAGAACTATTTTATGTAGGTTTGCACTTGAGCACACATTTAGCAATACATAGTAGACATAAAAAGACTCTCGTCATAATGGACCTAAAGTTTAATTGCAATATTTTGTGGCACAATTGTGATACGTGTCGATAACGAACTACTTTTTTAGGTTACTTTAGATATGGGTGTGTCTGAATGCCACGGCAGTCAATTAAATTTCAAAAATACTTTATTGATCCCAAAAGGAAATGAAGTGTGGTTTTTAACTCATTACAAGGTTTCCCCCAGAAAACTTGCTAAGCCTGGTGGTTGCATGGAAGGGCAGTCATTCATCCAGCGGCCCGTCATGTTTTTCAGTTAAAAAATGTTTAAAGTTGACAGGAAATTTGAAAATATCACTTGATAATTATGTGTTATTGGAAGATTAATACCTGAACACCAACTATAAAGTATTAAAAATGCAAACATTTTAAAAAGACTTAAATAAATATGCAATTATTAGTCTGGTGGGGCCAGAAGTAAAGCCTGGTGGCCCGCCAGGCTTATAAAACTCTTGGGGAAACCCTGCAAATTCTTCAGAGTTATTATAGACGGTATAGCCGTCTGTATTACAGCAAATTTGCAGAAGCCTCTGACTAAAGACAATTTCATGAAGATTATTGTCGAAGTTGACTTAATTTTTACTAGCTTTAAAAAAATAATAGTCCCACAAACTGATGCTGTTCTTGAAAAACACCTTATTTAGTTTTTACACAAGTTGCATAAAGAAATGTGACTTGTGTCACTAAACTGCATACATTTAGTCATATTTTCAAATTTATTTATTTAAAAGTCTCAATATGGAAAGTATGACCATTATATGTATGGCCATGTGCTTTTGTACATCTTTGTTGTTATATACATGAACCTCTCTGTACATCACCATAGTCATGTGACTCAAGGTGCCAAAACTGAGACAGTTGTGAAATAAGAGCTTGGAAACACCTGAAAATATTACTGGGTTTCACTCTTTTTCTATCTTGTGTTAATTTGACCTGTTTTAAATCCAGTTCACGCAGCTAAACTTTCTGAACCATTTTCTTCCAGGGATCCGTTTGCTGCCCACAGGCAGCAGATGAGGACGATGTTTGGACCCTTCGCCATGGATCCGTTCGCTCTCACCCCCCAGATTCAGCCACACCGTGTGGCACGCAGACAGGTAACAGGCTGCTGCTGCAATATATTATCTGTTCACTCCCCAAATTAGTGTTTTTGTTTTATTTTCTTTGTTTTTAACATGAGATTTGTGTTTTAGGCGGGTCCACTGGCTCCCTTTGGCATGATGGGAATGGTGGGTAAATGATTTATTTACTTTTCTCAAAAATGCTCATCTATTTTATTTCTGCTATCACAAAAAGCTTAGGTAAAAGTAGGTACATTCTGTGTTAAAATAAAATTATTCACATATTTGTGATATGTTTAGAGACTTTAAACAAATCTCTTTGTAATTTCAATTCAATTAATGCAACTAAGTTTTTGCCACTTCCTTGCTAATGTTAAATTGTTTTCTGGCTTGGAAACAAAGAGTTCTTTAGCAAGCCGAAACAAATCACCAAAAACTCTCATTACGTGGTAAAGTTGTGTAACAACAATGAATTCTGACTCAACAATGAGTAATATTGAACTTGCTTTAACTGTTGCATAAGTTAGATTGAATTTGTCACTAAGCTTTTGTGTAATTTACATTTAGATAATCCTAAAAACATCATAAATTTCTTACTAAAACTCCAAGTTTAATAATATATTATTATTGTCAGTTTTTTTCTCTGTTTTTTTTATTTATTGTTATATAACACAGATTAAAAAGAGTTTATAGGTGTGCATTGGAAGGAGTTGGTAACTACTCTGATGCTGTATGTCCGGTTATTGTTTGCACTTGTCATTATTATTATATATCCATAGATTTTCTTGTCCTGTTATGAGAGTTGGCTTGCAACCATTTTGTCTCTGAAATATAATTTATTTGTTGGCTTTTTATCACAGTACATTGAACAGACGCATGAATGTTATTACATGGTTTTACTTCCAAATTTTTGATAATTTGAGGGCCGGTATGTAACATATTACATTAAATTATTATAAGCGGTCGGATTCAATACATGTTCACTTCTTCCTACAGAAAAGGCAGTGCTAAGCTAATCATTTTGTTCTTGGTTATGCATTCACATGTTTTCTCTGTCCTACTGATTGCTTGTTTTCTTGTTTCAAATAAATCAAGAACCCCTGTATTAAAGGAACTGCACATCTTAAAGCTTTCCTCCATGTTTGCAGGGAGGCGGGTTCATGGATATGTTTGGCATGATGGGAGAAATGATGGGGAACATGGTAAGCAGCTCTGTCAACCATTAACCTCAGCTGTGAAGACAAAACTGTTCAGGTTTTACTTCAGCTTTTTCGTTTTGTTTTGTCTTCTTCTCACAGGAAAGAATGTCCGGATCGCCAAACTGTCAAACATTTTCCTCCTCAACAGTGATCTCGTATTCGTCCACAGACCCTGGAGCTCCCAAAGTTTATCAACAGACGAGTCAAACAAGAACAGGCCCCGGAGGGGTAGGAATATATTAACATTTTTAGCTGTTTTCCAAGGCCGGCGTTATATTACCGCGTAAGAAGGCCTGATTTACACCTGTCTGAGCGTCGGGCCGTAACCGTGTGTTTATCCAAGCATGAACAAATTCTTCTGGCCTTAGTAACTCTTGAAAAACCGCCAGCTGTACAGGCGGGGGATAAATCACGAGCAGCATAAATCTCGGTTATACAAACATTTGAGTTCTGGTTTGGTCAGAGTTCAGGTAGGGCAGGATGACATGGCTGCAAAAACATATCGCCATAAGTGATTCATATCAGTAGATGTCAATAATTGATTGGTTTTTTGTTTTAAATATCTGAAGTACTGCCATACAGGCAGAGTTAGGTAGTAACTAGTTACATGTACTAAATTACATTTACTTGAGTAATTTTCTTTAAAAAAAAATTTACTTTTAGGAGTATTTTATGCTACGCTTTAGTTTTTAATTTTACTTGAGTAATTTTATTATGAAGTATTGCTAATCTTACTTGAGTTAATTTTCTCGATTCTCTATAAAAAACAAACATATTTTAACCAAAAAGTCACCAGACAAAGAAGCACACCTGCAGTTTTTGGTAAAGCTTCATAACTTCTTTTATTGAAATAAACTAATTTGGAAGAACTTTCTTTTGCCTGATTTTGTTGTTGTTGTTTTTTTGCTATGTACATGAATTATTGTCATTTTGCTCCTTAAAATACCAAAACTTCCACAGAACATTATATTTTGGTTCATCTGATTATGTATTGGGCTGCACAGTGGGGCAGTTGGTAGAGCTGTTGCCTTGCAGCAAGAAGGTTCTGGGTTCGATTCCCGGCCCCGGTCTTTCTGCATGGAGTTTGCATGTTCTCCCTGTGCATGCGTGGGTTTTCTCCGGGTACTCCGGTTTCCTCCCACAGTCCAAAAACATGATTGTAAGGTTAATTGGCCTCTCCAAATTGCCCCTAGGTGTGAGTGTGTGTATGCATGGTTGTTTGTCTCTGTGTTGCCCTGCAACAGACTGGCGACCTGTCCAGGGTGAACCCGCCTCTCGCCCGGAACGTTAGCTGGAGATAG